TCCCTTATACTGTGCTGCTCTGGTGACCCTCAGGCACACCAGACACTTGTTTCTCCGTCTCTAGGAGTTCCTGGGGAATGGTTCTTCACCAACCCCAGAACAGTCCCCAGACAAATACATTCATACTTCAATGTACGATTAAGATTAATATAGGATCTGATAAGAGTGGAGGGGGGAAGACAGCACTAGGTTACTAGGCTCCCTCTCTCTCTTTCTCTCTCTGAGTCCCGTCCCCCCCCTCCCCCATGTTTCCCCCATTATAGGCTCTTGGATTGAGGCTAGGGATACAGTGTGGTATTATGCATCCTGGGGTCTTTGAGTGGAAGAGAAGTGACTCTATCTTGGACAACATAGCACTTTATACTCAATAGTATTTGTTGATTTGTTTTTATTTCTCAGAGCCAAGCTTGTTAAGACTGGATCATGCTTGCTTTCTCAATTGAGGTTCCGGAGGGGTAGCAATAGAGAGATGGTATAGGAGATATATTAAGGCCTTTTTCCATCAAGTTTTCTGCACCCTTCTCTGCTGTCCTTTGCTTCCTCCACTTCGCCCCCTCCCCGCCAACCCTTGCTTTTCTCAAAGAATCAGCTGACTAATAATCCCTGTAATTTATAGTCCAGGGCTTCCCAAAGATTCCGGCTTCACACAGACTGGGCCAGATCCTGGGGGCTTGATCAAATGAAAGTTACTTTCTTTTTCTTTTTTTTTTCTTTTTTTTTTTTACTTGCTGACCTTTTGGGAATTGTAAGAAAATAACCTAATGTACCAGGTGGCACAGTAGATAGAGCACCACACCTGAAGTCAGGAACACAAGTTCAAATCTGACCTCAGATACTAGCTGTGTGACCCTGGGCAAGTCACTTAACTTTATTTGCCTCAGTTTCCTCCTGTAAAATGAGCTGGAAAAGGCAATGGCAAACTATTTTAGTATCCTTGCCAAGAAAATCTCAAATGAGGTCACAAAGAGTCAGACACCAAAAATGATAGAACAATGATAATAAATACTCAGATACAAATAAATATAACTCATGTCTAGGTTTTCCCATACACGGCCAAAAGGGGTCCCTAGCTCCCATTTAGGCACTCGGAGTAGCTATATAACATTTTTTTTGAAGATGTGATCCCAATGTTTTTCTTGACTTCTTTATAACACGTATGCATTATGACTATATTAATAATTATGTACATTAAAACACACACAAAGAAATTGAAAAAGATGAGATAGAGATGAAATAATTTTTGATCCTAGAGTCAACAGGGAGTTAATGGAATTTATTTAGTAGGGGAGTGACATGGTTATACCTAAATATTGGGAAAATCACTTTGGCAAGGTATGGAGGATGAATTGGAGAGGAGAAAGACTTGAAGAGAGAGGCTAATCAAGCACAGTAGCCCAGACAAAAGATGATGAAAGCCTGAACTTGGGCGACAGCTTTATAAGTAGAGTAAAAGGAGTAGATGTGAAAGATGTAGAGATAGAATAAGATTTCTCAACTAATTAGATACAATTATTATGATAATGATGATAGCTAACATTTATTTATGTATAATAGCCCTTTCAAAGTTTGTAAGGTACTTTATGTGTTTTCTCACCTTATTTGATCCTTATAACCCATTTTATAGATAAAGAAACTGAGGCTGAAAGCAGTAAAGTGACTTCCTCTGGGGCACACACCTAGTAAGAGTCTGAGGTCAAATTTGAACTCAGGTCCTCTCGACTCCAAGTCCAACACTCTATCCACTATGCCACCTAGCAGTCTATGATCTAGATGCTTGGGTGCCTGGGCGACTGGAAGGATGGTGGGTGCCTTCCATGGTGATAAGGAAGTTTGGAAAAGGGGTGGTTTGTTTTTTAAAGAGAATATAATTATCTTTGATGCAGATCACAACCCAGCCATTCCTGCTTATCCTGTGTAACTCACTGTGTCCCACCAAAAATGGTAAGGGAAGAGGTAGAGCTCTTAGTCATCAGTTTTTGCCCCCAACTCAGAGTCTACCCTCAAGGGGACACTTTTTACAGCCATGAGGTGGGAAGGGTGGGAGGGGGTAGCAGAATTACAGGTGGTGGCACCTATGAAGCTGCTGTCGTGGAAACTTGGGAGCCCTGAGGGACTGATGAGTAGTTCAGAAGTGGGGGCTTGCCCAGTAGAGGAAGAGGGCATACTGAGGGGAATGTAGGAGGATAAGAATAGGCATGGTTGTGTTGCAGACAACCTGCATGACTGGCTATTGCATCCAGGGTGGGATTCCACTTATGGATTTTCCCACTGTCAGATTGATTGATAAAACATCCTTTCCACCTTTCCAGTCCCCCTGTCTTGTCTCCCCTCCCCCATATACTTTGAGGTTAGAGAACAGCTCACACAAAATACAGAAGATTTAAAAGACTCCGAGAGGCCTATAAAAAAATACTGAAGGAATGAAAAAGCATTTATTAAATGCTTACTGTTTGCAAAGTACTGTATGTTAAGTGCTGGGGATTCAAATAGAAAAGCAAGATAGTCTCTTCTCTCAAGGAGCTCAAGTTCTAATGGGGGCATTCATATAGTATATGAACATACCATAGAAAGGAATGGAATTTGGGGTTGCTATCAGGGCAACCCTTTGACATTTTGGTGCATTCCTCCTTCTCACAGAATCCTACATGGTTTTCCCCTAGATCTGAAGCATCTACCTGTGGTTCATCACATTTTGGGCTCTGCTGCAAGCAACCTTCTCACCACTGTAACTACATTGTCCAAATGACGCACAGGCTTTGCTCTTCAAGTAGGATGTTGTGTAGGACCTACGCAAATGCTCCTCTTTTCTCTCCAAGTAGCATGCTGCCTCAGGAAATCCCCTTTTCTCTCTAGAATAGAAGTTCTTAACCTGGAGTCCATGAACTTTTTTTTTTTTAGCTCATAACTATATTTCAATATAATTGGTTTCCTTTATAATCCTATGTATTTTAGTTTGTATTTAAAAATATTATTCTCCTATATCAAATTGCTTGCCATCTTGGGGAGGGAGGAAAGAAGGGAGGGAGAAAAATATGGAGCTCAAAATCTTATTAAAGATGAATATTGAAAACTATATATGTAATTGGAAAAAATATTATTTACATAAAATTTTTAAAATAAAAATATTACTCTGAGAAGGCATCTATAGGTTTCACTAGAATATGCCAAACCAAAAATGACACCCAAAAAGTTAGGAACCTTTGCTCTAGAACAGAACTCCATCACCCACAATGCTGCCCAGGAAATCTCTCTTCTCTGGCTAGAAGTCTAGATTCTCGAGTCATGCTGCCCAGGGAATTCAGATTGCTCCTTCTTCCACATGGGAGTTTGGGGTTCATGAACATTTAACCTCTTAGTCTAATTAGGCATGCACTTGACTGTCTTAGTTATATCCTTCTACAGGAAATCCATAAGTGCCCTGGTTGCTTCTGTTTATTGAGCTGGGGAAGTCTACTCTCAGGATTTCTCTTTTTCCAAGCCTTGTGCAAGCACCTCTGTACCTCTGCCATGTGCTTCTGCCTCTAGACACCATCAATTGCTCCTGGCAGAAGGAAAGTGGTCCTGGTGGTATGGATTGCCCCCCTCCCCCATTCCCCTTTGTTTTTTTTATCCTTTTTTTTTTGGTGCCAGTGGGCATGCCACGTGGAGGTACCTCCACAGAAATCTCCAACAAAAACCCATGTTCTGTAAAGAACAAGTCAAGAAGAAGCATTTATTAAGCTCCTACTATGTGCCAGGAATTAATATTAAGTGCTGGAATATAAAGAAAGGCAAAAACAGGCCTTGCCCTCAAGGAGCTCACAATCTAATGAGGGAAACAAAAATATACACATATATACATACATACATATACTCATATGATGTATTTTAAAAGACATATATAGGATTGGGAAATTATCAAATCAAATACATTATTCTTATATACATCTTATACTCAAGGGTTGAATCTCATTCTCCTAGTTTGGAAATTAGCTGGCAGACAGGAATGGACATGATCTCATGCTTGGAAAGAAACCTCCCCTACCCATCACTCTAGGGGCATACTCACTGGATGAAACAGACCTAAGAAAAGAAAAAAGACATTTCTAGCTCTTCCCTTTGAGCACCCTGGGTACACACCCTATCTTTGCCACTAGAGTTGCTTCAGCTCTAGGCAGCCACACTATTCAGCCTTGTCATCCCTCCCACTCAACCTCCTCAGCTAACTTCACAGCCAAAAGCTTTGACCATTTTCTTCCTGGTGTGTTTGATTCATTGGCTCAAAACAGCTTACTTTGCTTCTGGGAAGAGGCATCGTTGCTGAAAGAATAAAATGGTCCGGGAAGAAGAGCTTGGGATCCCCGAAACCAAACTTACATAGCCCAGACAAATAATAGCTGTGAGCAGTTTCTCCCGGATGACCAGCGGACATTGTGCAGCTTAGGGGACAACGGGTTATCAAGTTCCCTGTCCCTACCTTAGGCTCAAAGAAAAAAAAGGCAGGAGTGGGGGGCCAGAATGGGCCTTCCAATGATGTGGAGGGGAAAAGGAGACTCTTGATTGTTTATGCCTCTATCCCTCTCAGTGGGGCTGTACTCGACTCTCCTTTTCCACAGGTGTGGTGTGTCTCTGTGCCCCCCCCCCCCCGCAGTTGGGGTCTCCAATCCATTCCTCTCTAGGGTTAGGCTAGGGCTTATTTCTTAACAGGGCTGGCACCTCCATCCATCCTCTCCATATGTTGTCTGCCCTTCTTTCTAAATGACCAAAGATCTCTTTCCACCTTCCCCCTCTATAAGGTATCTCTCCCTCCCCACCCCCAGCCCCTCCTTAAACCAGCCCTCCCCATCCCAATCCCTCCTTCTGCCCAGGGGCATTGTGGGAGGAAACAAGATGTGGGGCGAGAGCGGCGCGGGGGAGAAGCCCGCAGTGCGGGGCCGGGCTGGCGCAGCCAATGGGGAGGCCCGGCGACGGCGCGTGGGGAGGGGCGCGGGGCAGGGGCGGGGCTGTATTTCAGGGGGGGCCGCGCGCCAGACGGGGCTCAGCAGCAGAGCAGAGAAGAGCTGAGGGGAGCTGTGCTCGCGTGGGAGCAGCCTACCCACTGGGAGAGAAAGAGGGAGCGAGAGCGGGCGCGGGAGGGAAAGAAGGAAGCGAGCTAGGAAGTAAGGCTACGCGCACGGGGCCGGGGCCGGGGCCGCGGGGCAGTGGAGCTGAGCGACCTGCGGCGGCTGCAGCTGCAGGAGCAGCAAAGGGGACACCGCCCCCATCCCCCTCCCCCCGCCCCCATCCCCTCCCCCGCATCGTCTCCCTTGCCAACCACCTTTGATTTTTGCTCCCTCGAGGGGACTGCGTTCGAGGACTTGTCACCGTGAAGGTGAGCGGCTGGGGCAGGGGTTGTGCCCGGGAGAGGGGGAGGGTAAGTGTGTGCTCGGCATTTTGCGTGCATGGGGGAGGGGACCCCGAGGAAGATCTGGGGGAGGGAACCCATCCACTTTGGCGGCCTGGTGGGTGGGGACTTGAAGCTGGCTGCCTGGGGCGCCGGGTGGAGGTGGGAGGAGGTAGGAGGAGAGGGGAAGGACAGTGGTGGCCTCAGGGTAGGGGATGAGGCCCTGGGCTCCTCTGGCCTTAGTCTTCTCCGCGCTCCTTTTCCACCTCCCCCACCTCCTCCACCTCCTCCATCTCCAGGGCCCGGAGATGGCTTCTTGGGCCAGTTTGGAGGCTGCCTAGCTGCTCTGCCCTCTGCGGCTCCTGCTGCTGCTTCCCACAATGCCTCCTAGCCCCACCTTTATTATCCAGCAAAGGAGGGGGGTGGGGGGAGGATGAAAAGGGGCTGGGGCTGGAAGAAGGAGTCCGAGGCCTTGATTGCCTCTCTCAGGATATGGAGCAAGTTTGGACTTCAACCCTATATTGCTCGCCTCCCCCCTGGAGGGGAAGGATCAGTTGAGTGCAGCTTGCAACTCTGTGCTCCTTCCTTAGCCTTGACCTACACCGAGGCTGCCCCAGTCTCTGCCCTGCGGTGGAGGGGGGAATTCCCACTTTCTTGGGTTTGGACCCCCTTTAGACTCGCCCTTAGCCTCCAGGGTCTGTCTGGTGGGGAAGGGAGGGTGGGATTCCGATGTCCTCGGGTTTCCCCCCTTTCTTCCCCCCCCCCCCCCCCGCCTTGGATTGCTCCAAGGCAGCCCCAGCCTCTTCTGGTGGGAGGTGGGTTGTGATTTTGACCTCCCTGGGTTTGGACCCGATTTAAACCCTCCCTTAGTCTTGGACTACTTGTAGGCAGTCCCAGCCTATGCCCTGGGGGAGGCTGAACTCTCGGAGTTAGTATGCCCCTTTAGATATGTCCCGTGGGGGGGACCAGACTGCAGAGGTGTTTCCCCGCCTACTCCAGTAGGATTCTTGTTCTCTGATGTTTGGGGGCCCTAGGAAGGAGGGAGGAGGGGGATGGGGTGGAGAGGGCACCAGGCGTGACGCGGCTTCCGATGCTGCCCCCCTCCGGGGTGTCCTTCCTGCGGAGAGGACGACCAGTCACTCCCGGCCCAGCTCCAGGCCTATGGGGGTGGGGTGAGAGGCTCAGTGGACCAGGCCCTGCAGACCTGGCAGGGTTTGTATAAGGGGGAAGGAGGAGAGACAGAGGCAGGCAGGCAGACTGAAAAGAAAAGAGGATTTTCGTTTTTACTTGTGAACCTCACTTGCCCTTCAGCGATCCCCTTTTGGAGATCAAACCCTTGGGGAAGAAAGAAACAGTAGGGAAAAGGGACAAGATCCCTAGCCAGCAGGGCGGTGGGAGAGGGAGGCCCTAGAGGTTAGGGAGAAGTAGGTATTATTGAGGGATCTGGGAAGCTCTGACAGTCTCTTCAAATTCCATCTCTACCTGATGCAAAATGGAGGGTGAGAGTTAAATAGAGCGGGCCTGCAGCCCTTGCTCCTATCTGTTCTGTTAAAAAGTATCTAGTGACTCAACTCTTCCTAGTTTACTCTTGAGTCCTCTAGTCCCTTTTCCATTTTGAAGACAGGGTCTTTCTCCCATTGGGAGAGGTAATCCTTGAGGGCTTTTCTCTCCTTTCCTGGGCGTGTTGGACTGAACTGGCTTGGGTATAGGGGGCATGGGCAAGGGGAGGGGAGAGTGGGGAGGGGGAATAATTGTAGCATTGTGGTCACAAGACTGACATTATGCAACTGGCTGGCTCTTTTCTGGAGAATAGGCTGGGTTTTAATTAATGTAACAAAGTTGTTCCTTTGGACTTTGGGGATGAGGCCGAGGAGCAAGTCAAATTGCTAGATAAAACAGCTAAATTTGCACTTGTGTTTCCTGGGGCCACCCCCAACCCTTTTCCTTCACCCTCCCCTTTTAGGCTTTGTAAACAGTCACTCCTTATAGTAACTCTGAATAAATAAATTAAAATGAGCAGCAGAAAGACTACCAGGCAATACCAGTGAAGTTTAAAACCAAATCTTATTCCCAAGTGCTGTCTTTATCTGCCTGCTGTGCATCTTTCCTATGAATCAGGAATGAGGACAATGGGAACTTAACTTTCTTTAGAATAGTTATGGTTACAGTATTCTGTGTATCTAGCTGATCTGGGAAATGGGAAGGTTCAAATAAAATAAAGGGAGTCCCAGCAATTTACTCAAGGTCATGATGAGGATGGGATGGAGGAGGCAGGCCTGGCTGGGCTTGTATGGGAGGAAGGAAAGAATGTTCTGAGACAGCCAGATTCAGAATGGAAGCCTTGTCTCCTGGCCGTTTCTTTTTTTTTGGTGAAACACTCAGGGTTAAATGACTTGCCCAGGGTCATAAAGCTAGTGAATATCATGTGTCTGCAGCCAGATTTGAACTTAGCTCCTCCTGACTCCAGGGCTGGTGCTCTATCCACTGCACCACCTAGCTTCCCCTCCTGGCCCTTTCTTACAACTGTGTTGTGCCTTCCAAACAATGCCAACTTCTTGGGAGTGGGGGCACTCCTATTTTTTTTAACTCCTATTTCCTGAGTCACCTCACTTCCAGGTAGAAGTGCTCTACTTCATGTGCTTTAGTATCATTCACTACATATGAAGTTGTAGCAATTGTATCCTTTTTTACAATACCAAGTGAAGGATTATTTGCTATAGGCAAATCCTGGCATTCTGTGAGATAAGGTGTGGGAAGGGGATAGACAAGATATGCCCAGAAGTCATTGAACTTTCTGTCTTCTGATTTTGAGGAGATTAATATAGTTCTTACTGTCTAGGTCATCCCTGCATGCCCAAGGTAGAATGAGGATAGGATGAGAAACTACCCATATCCAGCAGTTTGGATATCAGGCCAAGGGGGAAGCTCCAGGAGTGGGATCTCCATGGCTTGATGTTAGGTGTAATATTTTTGGAGGTGGGGAAACGTGGGGGGTGGAGTTTACCTGAATATCCTTCCTTCTCCTTGTACTGTTATTCCATAAGCAGACAAACCTGAATGCTCTCTTTTGGTGGTTTTTCTTTTATGTCTGAGTCAGGGGTAAACTCTGGATCTGTGACTGCACTAGGATGGTACCAGAGGTTTTTTGACAGGGATGGGAAACAAGGAACATTAAAATAGTTTTTCCTATTGATATGCCACCTATGAAGGTACTATCTACATCAGAGGTATCATGGATCATCCACATATGTACCACATTGTTTTCTTAGGTTTTTATTGAGACAAAATATTTCAAGTATTTAGTATGCCTTCTGGGGAGGAGAAGAGGATTGTCACATTAGATCCCTTGGTGGATGTAGAAACTGAGACTCAAGAGACACCAACTTGCCCAAAGTCATATGGGCAATAAGTGGTGGAGTTGAGACTAAGGCACTAAACCACTGGACCATACTGGAGCGAGACACATACTTTGCAGAGGAGGGTGGAGGAGGGTCAAAGAAGAATTCAAAGTACAAGGTCTGAGTGGGAGGCTGACATGCGGTCCTGAGTCTGAGTTCTCCAAGTCCCTTACGCTCTAAAATATGAACGATAACATTTAGAGTTGGAAAAAGATCTTAGAATCCAGTCCAACACCTTCATTTTACAGATGAGGAAACTGAGTCCCAGAGAGGTGATCAGGTCAGTTGTCCATTGTCAGTTAGGCAGTGACAGAGCCAGAACTAGAACACCCATTTCTGCTTCTTAATCCTTTAGTCTCCTCCCATACACCCGTTGCCTCTTGCTCTCCCATGTCAGGGGAGTTTATATTCATGACTTCTGTTTGTTTTGTATTTTCTGATTACCAGACTTACAAAGTTGATTGTGTTTCTCATACCTTTCCTCCTTTGAATTGGTCAGTCTCTAATCGGTACCTGAGTTTGGGAGAACTTTATAGCCCTTCATCAATGTGGGCTGCCATTTTCTCCTGTCCCCAGAACGTGTAGGTTCTTCACCCAGTGGGCCCTCAGACCCCAGAGCTGTGGAGTGAGGAGCCGTACTGACTGCCACATGTGTTTTTTGCTGTAGTGCCGCCATGTCTGACCGGAAAGCAGTGATCAAGAACGCAGACATGTCTGAGGACATGCAGCAGGATGCGGTTGACTGTGCAACACAGGCTATGGAGAAGTACAACATAGAGAAAGACATTGCTGCCTATATCAAGAAGGTACAGCATGGGAAGAGGGGTGAGCTGAGGAATGGGGTGGCTGACCCAGCAACTTGAGGAGAAGAGCACTAGAGAGCTCAGCCACATTAATTTGTGTATATATCTTGCCTGTTTAGAGAATCATATATAGGATTTGGGAAGGGGGAGGGGGACAGAGGGCAGGAAAACACCAAATCTGTATTTTCACTTGTATAAGGAAATGCCTCTACTAATGCAAAAATGAGTGGTACAGCTAGTTGCAAAGTGGATAGAATGCTGGGCCTGGAGTCAGGAAGACTCATCTCTCTGAGTTCAAATCTGGCATCTTGACACTTCCTAGATTTGTGACCCTAGGCAAGTCACTTAACCCTTTTTGCCTCAGTTTCCTCATCTGTAAAATGAGCTGGAGAAGAAATGGCAAACCACTCCAGTATCTCTGCCAAGAAAACCTCAAATGAGGTCATGAAGCGTCAGACATGACTGAAAAACAAAACATCAAATCAATGCAGATTGGTAACTACCAACATAACCTCGCCCAGGGTCACACAGCCAGTATGTATCAGAGACGGGACTGTTCCTGACTTCAAAGGCGTCTTCTCCTCTCACACTTCCTCTGCATGAGAGTTTACATTGCAGATAAACAAAGGAGAGATTCCCCCCTTTGACAAAGGGGGAAAGTGACTAGAACCCACTTCTGGCTCTAAATCCTTTGATCTTCTCCTACACTCAGTTACCTCTTGTTCTCCAGAGTCTGAGAAGTTATATTATTCCTTACTACTTTTTGTTTTGTATTTGGAATACAAATCATAGGATTCCTTTAAAGTGGCTCTGTAAGTGTGTTTTGGAGATCATTAAGTGCTTGATTTGAGAGGCAGTCAGTATTGGAATCTTAAGGTCAATTACTGAACAGTCTAAAGTGAAAACATAACCTCTAAAATCATGACAGAAGCCAGTGGGGGAAAATGCTTTGTGGAGGTTCTGATCAGAATATCACATCTCAGTTGGGAAGTGGCCCAGTGTGATATGGGAATGGGCCATCTCTTAGAATTATAGTATTTCAGAACTGGAAGGAACATTAGAGACCAATTCTGGATCTGCTAGAGCTATAGGCTTGGAGGTAGGGAGACTTGGGCTCTGATCTCATGGCTTAGCCACTAACTTGCAGTGTGACTTTGGGCATGGGGTTTGACCTCTAAGGCTCAGTTTCTTCCTCTTGTAAAATGAGAAGGTTGAACCAGATGATCCCTAAAATTTCTTCCAGCATGGACATGGTAATCATCCATCCAGCCTCTGAATTTCATGGGTGAGGAAACCGAGACCCAGAGAAGTAATTTCCGTCAAAGCTGCCAGAGCTTGTTAGTGGCAGAATCCAGGTCTCTAGAGGTCCTCATTCTAGTATTCTTTATATGATAACAAGGAGAATACCTGATATTTACATAGCTGGTCACAAAACTCTTTACAAATATTATCTTTGATTCTCAAAAGAACCCTGTCAAATAGGTGCTGTTCATGATGAGGAAACAGGCTGAGTGAGGTTAAGTTGACTTGCTTAGGGTCACACCACTAGTAAATTGTCTAAAGCCACATTTGAACTCTGATCTTCCTCACTCCACATATAGCACTATCCACTGTACCACCTAATTACATGCCTCTTTTATACCACTGCCTCTTAAATGTAGTTGATTGAACTATATAGTCAGTGGGGAAATTTGCCCACCTCAGTTGGGTCACTTGAGCAGAATTTCAAGTTGTGGTGTAAAGACCTCACACACCTGCACACACCTTGTTCCCATGGGTCCTAAAGCTGCTTCTGTAGGACATTGATAGAATTGAAACAGCTTACTGGGGTGAGGAGATAGAAGATTGTGTACCTTGCTGACATCTCCTTAATTTAGTCCATGGAAGAGATGAATTCGAATTTCATCATTAAATTTTTGTGACTTCCTAGGCTCTTATACATGATTCTGGACCTGAAAGAAGAATAAATTCAAAAGAATTTGCACCAAGTACAAGATAATTGAGTTAGATACTAAGGATACGAGGACAAAAACAAAAGTGACTACGGTCAGGGAGATTACATTTTCTTAGAATAGAATATTTATATTCTGCAGAATTTAAGTTGATTCATAGGGGTTCACTTTAACCAAACAACCTAGAGAGAGCCAAGTCTCCAGGTGTTGGTGGAATACTTTCCTCCCTTCCATCTCACTTGAGGCCATGATGACTTAGTGGTCTGGAAGGCAGTAAAGGCCCAAGTATTCTCTGTAGTGCTTTATGATTTGGGGAGATTATTTGGCCTCCCAGATTCCCCAAATGTGAGCTATGGGGAACTAGGGTTTGGGGTAGAGAAAGAGAAAGATGACCAGTGCTTACCTCTAAAGTGGCTGAGGCCCAAGGGGCTGGAATAATTAGCCTGTGGTGTGATTCATTATTAATGAAGGGTGGAGGAAGAACCTAGTTAGCCTTAGAACCTGAGCTCTCATAGCTTCTAGAGCTGAAGTCATTGTGTGGGGGTGGGGTGAGGAAGGTGGTGGTAGATAGGGAGTCATGTAAGGTACCAGCTAAATATCCCCACTGTTGATGAGAGATTTCCCTGATCTCACCCCTTAGACCCTCCCTAACCTTCACCCTAACTCTTATTTCCTTTTAGGAATTCGACAAGAAATATAACCCCACGTGGCATTGTATTGTGGGCCGAAATTTTGGCAGCTACGTCACACATGAGACAAAGCACTTCATCTATTTTTACTTGGGTCAAGTTGCAATCCTCCTCTTCAAGTCCGGCTAGGTGGTGCAGTGGTGGCGGTGGCTGCGGTGGTGGAGGCAGGCAGCGGTGGTAGCAGGCAGAGCTGGGACTGTTATACGCACTGAAGGCTGGCACCAGGATTTCCTCTCCAATGGCTGTGCTACTGCATGGATTGTATACTCGACTTCATGTGTATATGTTGCAGTAAAAAAAAAAACAAAAAAAACCACAAAAAAAACCCCTACTTCTGTTTAGTTGCCTGGGGAAGAAGGCTGCTTTCTGTTGTTTAATTTAAAAAAAAAAACACCCCCTCCCCTTTGGTTGTATTGCACTAGGAAATATCACAAAACAAATTCTCCCATCCCCCTACAAAAAGCTTAAAAGGAGAAGCAGAGAACCCCCAGAATTTTGGAGTGCTCAACTTAATCCTTCCCAGTGGTGGATGCCTTCTTTGGAAGGCTTGAGGAAAGCTAGGGGGATGGGGATAATGTGTTAGGGTTGGGATGGGGGGGAGGGCTCAAGTAAAGGGGAGATTTGTTCCCCCATGATGTGAATCCAAGTGTTTTTGGATTGTGAGTTGGGCAGGGGATGAGAATCCTCTAGAGAGGCCCTGGAAACTATTTGTTGTGGGGTGGGGTGGGGGTGGGGGGCAGAGACTTGTCTTGCTGTCTTCATTAGTGCTTAAGGGAGTGTCTAAGAGGTGTGTATGTGTGTGTGTGTCTTTGTGGATTTGGTGCATTAGGTTATTTTTTTTCCTGCTGGTGCTCAGATTGGGAGGATGCTAGGGGCAAGATTATTCCATTTTCTCTCATTCCATATCCCCAACCTGGCCACATCCAACTCATTAACTCTTTCTCCACGTCCTTGGAAGAGTCCCCTTAGGTTAGCCTCCCTCTTAGCTGATGGGCCAGGGAATTTCCAGTGACATTGGGTCTGAACCTTCCTCCTTTCTGTATTTGAGAAGGAGTCTGAGAGAGAGACTAAGAATGAGTGTGTATGTGCTGTTATTTGTAGAGGGGCACAGGTAAAGGTGATTGTGGGGCAGCTGAGTGATCTGGCCGCAGTATCACTTTAGTTCTTCAACTACCTAGTGCAGGAGACACAGCTGCTCTCTGGTGGAGACAAAAGGATGCCCAGGAACTATTGTGTGACCAGAGAAATCTTAGCCTCTGTCATCCTTGGAGCAGGTTCTCAGTTGTAGGCTAGAGAAGGTATGACTTGGTGGAATATGGAGCCTCTGGTAGAGTGCGTGACAGTGTTTCCGGGCTGGGGGAGCAGAGCTGGTGACTTTGGTGGATGTGTTAAGTGATTTTTGGGGAGCTCCTATGGGAACTCATCTTGCAGCATCAATGAAGGGGGGAGAAAGTCATGAAGGAAGCAGGGGAATCCTGATGGGAGAGAGGGCTTCAGCTTAGGGGATAGAGGCTTAAAGAGGGCAATATTGTGAAATTGAGGTGAGTGGGAAAGCTAATACCTTGAACTGCTGATTTTCCTGTGTCTCGTCCAAAATACCGTTATGGGGGTGGGGTAGATGTTGGGGAATTAGGGATGAGTGAAGCTCCTTTTTTCAAGCTTAAGTCCTGGCAGAATGGGCTATCCTTCCCCCAGTGTTCTGTGCTTTCCACCTTTCTTTACAATACTAGAAGAAACCTGAAATTGGGGGGAGGGGGAGCTGGGCAGTGATAGGATGTTCTTTGTATTATAAACTGGGCAGTGAAGGATGTGCTGTCTGTGATAAGTTGCTTGGATATTAGATTTTTTTTAAAATAAATGTTTGAGTTTGTGTTGTCTCTCTCTCCCTACTGCCTTGACTTGTAAGGCCAATTGAAAGTGTCTGGATTTGTGTTTATCTCTTTTTTTTGTCTTTATTCTCCTGGAGCAGGGGTGGCTGCCCCCCCCCTCCTCATCCCCCTTGCTCTGCCTCCATTCCTCTCTTGGACATTAAAAGTTGATTGATGCACTTCAAACTTGTTTTGTGTTCTTTGGGGGATGGAGTGGGTGAGGGAGTTGGCCAGATTCCAGTTGAAGGATTTGTTCCCACTATTCTTTGAGGAAGGGGAGGTAGGATAACCAGTTGATGGATCAGTCTGGTTACTAGGTTACAGATGCAGTGCCTAGCAATGGGTTTAGTTGTTGGGGGTGGGGGTGGTCGTCTGGACAGTAGATTCATTCTTAAGCTTAGATGCTTGGTGTTAGGGAGGTGAGTTTTGGGATGCATTTCCAGTGCCCCACCTGTGTCTAAGGTCCAATCTGCTGTAAAATGCAAATTGCAAGTTGAGACTGGAAGCTCTATCTATGGTGGTTTCTAAAGGCCCAGTGGGTGAGTGGGGAAGTTAAAGAAAGTGGGTTCTCAGTGGAAATTAGGAATTCCTGTCCTACTGGCCTTTGGTTTGATTATGCCAGGTATAAGGGAGGTGGAGGTAAAGAAGGGAAGAAGAGGCAAAGCTTGCTCTCAGCCACCCTTTGGATTAAAGGTACTTTTTCTTATCCAACCATCCTTCTTGCCATTCCACTAGGTGTTTTCTTTAGTCAAGAGGGTCTGGTTCCCTTAGCATCTGACTACCCTGCACTGCAGTTTTGGCTCTGAGAAGGACCCCTCTGAGGGGTACTCAAAGCATCCCTATGAAGGGAATGGGAGTCCTGATTTGGAAGTGACTTTTATGACTTCTAGGGATCAAAAACGGGTGGAATAAAAGCCAGGGACTTTGGGGAACACCCAGCTTCCATTTCCTACATAAAATGACTTTTACTCTTCTCTATGATCTCTTCATCTCTCCCCACCCCCCACCTGAATGCTCTTTTTCGTTTGCTTGTGGGTGAGATTATAATCCATATCCATCCTAATTGGCTCCAGTACTTCTACCCAAGCTTCCCTTCTGTTTAATAATCCTCACTGCAGTCCAGTGCACCTTTCCCTGCTTTGTAGAGACCATTCTTAAGAGACGAAGTTGGGGAGAGGAGATAGGCTTCCTGCTCTCTTGTGCTTTCCCTCAAAAGAAAAAAAAAAAGGAAAAGGGTCAGGAGTGCTACATGGTATATGAAGACTTGTCCCTAGACTGCTCTTTCTGGCCAGTTGTATCTGTAGCTTGGTTTTGCTTGCTACGTGGGTTTGTGTGTGTGCGTGTGTGTATGTGTAATTTAGACCTCTTCAGGTTTTCTGGGAATGGCTGTAGCTACCTGAACCTGCTCTCTATTAAAGATAATTCTGGAGGGACTTTTCTTTCCACACCCACTATGGAGACATAGCATCCTTTCTAGCAATGGCAAGGAGGTTGTTACATATCCAGTGGGGGGTGGGGGTGGGAAGCGTGGATTGGGGGAAGGAAAGAAGTCCTTTGGAGTGGGATCTTGGAGAAGAAACAGACTCAGACCCAAGGAGGTTTCTCATTCTTTTTTAGTGAGGTGGACAGTACACATCTCTATCTCCTACCCTGGGAAAGGGGTGTGTGTGTGTGTGTGTGTGTGTGTGTGTAGTTTTAGAGAGGAAACTGGACAGCTTGGAAATTCTTACTGTATGAATCCCTCTATTCTACTTGGTTGAGAAGAGGCAAGAACCTCAGTAGGTAGAGACTGAAGAATGACAGGCTAACCTTGGAGGACTTTCTGGAGGAAGTGGCCTTAACCTGGGAAAAAAAAGTAGGTAACATGCTGTCATGTGCACTTTTGTGTTCTTTCTCCTTGGGGCCACTCAGTTGTACCATGTTTCTTCTGTTATTTTTCTACCCTGCAGCTTTTTTCTGTGTGCTCTCTATGCTTGTCTTTAACTAGGACCTCAGAGGTGGGGGAGTCATTTAAGGTGGCAGTTGTGGGGAGACATCTGGCCATGGGGAGGGGAGGGGAAGCATTGATTTTTCTGGCTTAATGACTTTTCTCTTTTGGAATTGGGGGTGAGTGGGAAGTCACAATGCAGATTTTGCCCAGGCAGGTTCCGTAATCCTGGTATCTTCTTTCTCTGTGTCTGTTGGAGTTAATTATTTCTCCCCATTTCCCAAGGAAGGAAGTATTGTAGCTTATAACTTGATGGAAGCAGCACAATAAATGGTTAGCATCATGGCCTCTTTCTGCTCTTTAGTGTTAGAGAGGGGCACTGGCCCCACCCACTGTATTCCACAGCTTAACAGGAAAGGTCCTCCCTCCCAGATCTAGGGGGTTCATCCCTTGCTTTTATCAGCCTCTGGGGAAAGTGATTCAAACCCCACCTTGGATTCTTATTACCCTGGTGACTTTAGGTAAGTCACTTAATTTCCCTGGGTCTCAGTTTCCACATTTGTAAAATGAAGGGGTTGGGCTAGAAGGCTTTTGAGGTCCCTTGAACTCTAAATCTAAGATCTCGTGATCCTCTGACTTCTCCCCCTGGGTATCTTGACCCACTATCTAAGAACCATCATTAGAAAAGGTCCAGATTTAGAGCTCAATGGCATCTAAGAAATCAGCTAGTTCTACCTCCTTGTCTTGCAAATGAGGATGAGGAAACTGTGAAGTGACTTGTCCAAGGGAATAAATGGCAGAGCTGGGACTGGAAACCCGCATCCTCTGATTCTTTGTTCTTTCTTAGGTCAGAATGGTCTCCTGACTGCACTTAAAGGCCATGCTAGTCTTTCTACCTGCCCATTCCTGTCCCCAAGACTTTTTTCCCCTCTTGCTTGGGGATGGTTGTATGTATAAGATCCTTAAATACTTTCTAACCTCAGTCTCCTTGGGCCCTAGTTGCAAAACAACAGTACCTGAGGTTGGTATAGTGCATTTAACTTCAAGACTCTTTTAATTCTATTATCTCTTTGATGTTCATAGCAGCCACAAAGTAGGCTAATGAGGGAAATGAAGATCAAATAATCCAGTGGCCCTGACTTGGTATCATATGGCTACATAGTTAGTAGCAGAGTCAATCAATCAACATCTATCAAGAGCCTACTGTGTGCTAGGCACTGTGCTAAGGGTTGGGGATACAAAAAGAAGCAAAAAACAATCCCTGTCCTCAAGGGGCTCACAATCAAACAAGTTTATTGAAACAAGCTATATGTAGGATAAGTAGGAAAGAAGAGAGGGAAGGCACTAGGATTAAGAAGGGTTA